GAGGAAACCTCATCTTTTAATTTCAGTTCATTCACAACACAGGCATTCATTACACAAGGGGTATTTCAGGATTATTGGTTCTTCATGAGTGAACAAATGATTTTCCCTTCCCCCCCCCCAATTTTAATTAGAATATTTTTCACCAAAAAGAAAGCTATACCCAGAATGCAACAAAAGACCCGAGAAAAATAGTCAAGTAAGTGGAACGTGAGGAGCCAACAGGGACACCCCAAAGTGCTTATACTAAAGGTTGGGAGTTTTTTCATTAAAAAGGTCTTATTCTTAGCCAGTTTACTCTTATATCTTCCACACTCCCAGAACCCTGGAAACGGAAGTTAGAAAACAGGGCAGAAGCCGCGGGAAAGACACAAAGCAGCCCAAGGGCAGACACTGGTAACAGTCACTAGACAATACAAAGAGTTTTGACAAAAAAAAAAAAAAAAAGATTTAAAAAAAAACAGATGATGAAATGCAAGAGGCATCTCAACCTGGGTACTTTTAGTTCGGATAAACAGATCCACTCTCTTCAACAAGCAAGTGGTGGTAATTCTTCATCACAGGCCAAATCAACTCATGCAACTGATGCATTTTAAAGTATAACAATAAAAAGGGTTAAATTTTTTTAACAATTTGAGCATCCAGTGACTTTTAAACAGTCAGTTATCTAGATAATCACTCCTCTGAAGATTGTTAGAGACTTTCAAATGACTGAGGCATACTTAAAGAGAAAGGAAGAAGGAACGTTATGTAGTTTAAGGCATTTTCAAGAGGGTGAGGGGAGACTCACTTAAATGATATTTATCAAACCCCCTCCCTATCCTTTCTCCATCTTCTTTCTACCAGCAAACCCTGAAAATATATGCCTACCAAAGAATGCACGAATATTTACATTATTTTTACTAGCTGGAATATATTTTTCTACTATAATATATAGTTCCATCTTACCTTCTTGTATATTGTTGGTCCATCCACATTTGTGCTCAGAATGACCACTACTTTCTAATCATCAGAAAAGTGACTTCAATTCCAGATACTACAGTGTGGCTTGTTGAAAGTCAAACCCAAAACACTGACTAGGAGTGTCTCTCATTGAACAAAGAAATCCTATTCTGTTTCCAAAGGGGATAAAAAGACGAGCCTAACCCTGGTAACCTTAACACAAAAGGAAGCTAAAAAGGCAGGGACTCGATAAGAACAAAGGATTGTTCTTTCTGATGACATCAATATGTATTAAACACAATGTGTTACACATCCTTCTATCAATATCTGAGATGATAAATTTGCAAATTAATACTACATTGGCCATAACTGCATAAAATTACCATAGCACCCTCTTTAGAAGAGATTTTGATTTATATAACAGTAGTAACTTTTATGTGTTTAATGTTTCTGAAATTAATGGAGGAGATGAGCCGCTGTGAGCAAGCAGAATACAACGTACAAGATATAATTACACTGGTGACCTCCTGCCCTAGAAGGTCACTGCATCACAGCCAAAGGAAATCGGGAACCAACAGCATCTACCTCCCAGTCACTGCCTGGAACGAAGGGCAAGTGTGGGTGTATGTCATAAACTAGCAGGTGCTTGACCTCATAAAAAAGTCAATTATCAAAATGCTACACGGAGAATGTCACAAATAAGAAATACGTAAAATTGGATTATGCAAAATATCTTCACTTCAAAATAAATCTGAGACAACTTACACCATTTTATTTTCATCCGAATTATAATACGACAGCACAAAACAGCATTAATCCTTCCTTATTAAGAATAATCAATAGCATTTTTAAGCGTCCTATAACATAAAAGTGATTGCAAATACATGCTAAAGAGTGATAACTCAGAAAATATTTACAACAGTTAAGTCGCCTTACAAGATTGTACACACTATTTACCATTCCAGTCCTGTTACTTTCAGAGTAAGAAGCACTTAGCCTCACATTTTCCATCAGAAGTTAGGCATTAGAAGCATGCACACTGACTGTATCTGTAAGGGACAGAATGTTTCCTAACAGGTTCAAAGACAGAGCTAGATTACCTGAAACAGCATTCTTACATCACTCCATGAGGACTTGGTTTGGGAGCAGATCTGTGAATTGGCTTTTCAGTTCAGGTCCACTATGGCTGCTTTTCCTCCCCAGTGATCTGGCCTACTGCCAGAATCCCCAGGTGACATAAATTAAGGTTAATTCTGAGGTGGTGACAATAAGAATAAAACTAGAGAATCCGGCACAGGAAAGGAAGGGGCCAGTTGGCCAAGATTCCCCACCTGTGTTACACGCTGTGCTGGGTGCTGCCCGAGGCTTCTCCTTCCTGTGCTCTCAACAGCCCTAAGAAAAGCAACTGGCTTCTGGCCCACTGCTCTCCTTATGTTCTCAAACAACCCTACAAAAGGCTTTTATCGCATAATGCGTCTAAAATTCGAGAAGACCCCAGTCAATATGACCAGCTGACTTGTCATCTTACCCCCAGCTCGGTCACTTACTGGACTGTGAAGTCAGAGAAAGTTGCTGGCCGCTTTCAACTCCAGCCTCCTCACCTCTAAGACGAATGGCTCTCACAGTCCACCAGCCCAGTATGTCTTCTGAGTTTCAAATAACTAACCAGGGGACTCTTAGATCAAACCCAGTTATAAGTTAGGAGCTGCCAATATTGCTTAGGCAATTATTGCATATGTTTAAGTGCTCAGGATGATTAAATTGTATGAAAATATCTGATGAGTGGTGTGTTTACCAGACAGATGGCTTAATATTTTACCTACTTTAGTGATTAAGAAGATTCCTATGCTAGAATAAGTTTTAAGTTTCTAAAAGATTGCTTCATGCTGCAACTTGCTACAATAATCATCTCCTCAAATATTAATGACAATGGCAGAAGCGACTTCACTCCGAGCATGTTGATGGCAGGTGTGGGCTGTCAACCAGCTGGCTCCGTAACCTTTTGATCCCTTCGGACAGCAAATCTGTTCAACAGCCCCCTGTGGTCACTCCTCATTTGCTGTGTGCCTTCTCCTTTCACACATTCAGAATCCCTACTCCTTCAGCTTGACATCCTTTTATTAAAAAAAAGCTCCCAGTAAAGCAAATTAAAACTAATTTTACACTCAGTTGAGATAAAAGTTTCCAAATAAATTAATATATTATAGCAAAAGCTGCTGGCGGGAGATGTTTCAGTTATATGTAGAATGCTTGTTTGCTTCTTCTTTTGCTAAAAAATACAGCTGTAGCAAGTGAGAAGATTAAAATTTTAAGTAAGCCAGCACTCAGTTAATGTATAAAGTACTCCAGGATACTATAACTAAATACCAAGGACTTTAATTTACATTAATGGAAAAGTTTAAATTTGACCAAGAACAATCTAGTTTATGCTTATTTAAACAATGATAAGAATCATTCAGAGATATTTTTACAGTTATTTTTCTGCTCCATTTTGTTATTGTTGTTAAATTTAATATGGCTAAAAATGGCAGTCTAAAAGCAAGATTAGTTAAGCCAAATATATCTACTCATTCCTCCACCCCTGCCCATCCCCCACTACATTTAAAATCAAAGGATGCTGGAGGAGCAAGATAGAATAAACTGTGGTTAAAATAATGAGTTTTGTAGTCTGACAATCACTTGGTAACTGAGGGACCCTGAGAAAGTGCTTTAATCTCTTTTGGCCTCAATGAACCCATTTAGGGGGAAAGAAGGGGTGGTGATGACAACTTAACAGGGTTACTGCGACAGTTTCGTGAGACAATACACACCAGGTACTCAGCTGAAGCCTGGCAGAGAAAGTGGTCATCAATGGCAGGTATTTTCATTGTTTTACTTGTACTGTATGCTCTCTGGACCCTCTAACAGACATCTCGCTTAGCAACATACACACGTTTATCACTGCTTCGGGGAGTAATCTGTGACCATACAAAGCCTTTACAGTGTACCTGACGCATTCTCTTCTTTCCGAGAAAAAAATAAAATGGCATCCACCACCATTCCTAATGGCACCTCTCTTCCCAAACTGCCAAGAATACAACACTGCACTAACTTTTGGTGGCGGTCTTAGACTGTTACATGCAATCTGTAATCAACGCTTAGAATGATCCCCTGTTCTATCCCTTCTCCATTTAGGCCTGGGTCCCCTGTTCCCTTCTGTACGGGCCTCCCAGCCACTCACTCTACCTTACCCCGTCCTCCCACTCTACACAGTCCATTCTGAATGCAGATGTCTTTAAAATGGTTTTCAAAATAGTGTTCTCCTTTTAAAAGAATCTCTAGTGATTTGCTATCAATTTGCAATTGAAGTTGCACCTTCAGTCTACTCTATCGTACTATATTCATCGTTTTTCCCAGGTTGCAGGTTTGATCCCTGTCCCTGGTCCAGGTCATGTGGGAGGCAACCATAAATCAATGTCTCTCTCTTACATTGGTATTTCTCTCTCTCTCTCGCTCTCGCTCTCTTTCCCTCCCTCCTTTCCACTCTATCTAAAAATCAATGGATTAACAACCACAACAAAAAAGTCAACAATTTTTCCCAAGGCCTTTGCTAATTTTCTTTTTTTCAGTAGTACACTGGTCTAACTCTACCAGATCTTTATTTCTGAAGGATTCACAATTTCAGCTTCAACTTGGGAAGCATCTGCCTTGTGTTTGCACTTGCCTATCACCCCATCCGGATCTAACGAGTAGGCACCCATGAGCACAATAATGCAATGGGCAGAGACAGAGGCTAGTCTTAAATAGGGTAGAATTTGGGGGAGGGATTAATTTTATTAGGGGTCAGTCCATTAGGAAATATCTTGATATTAATATAACTTCTGCTTTTTCTGTTTGTTTCCTAACCAAACTCCAAACCATGGTGATTTCAGAAAATGAATGAGCAGAATTTGAGGATCCTCCTTTTCACTTGAAGGTAAATGACTCACTGTTATTGACAGGTAGTGGCGAGCATATTCGTGAGTTTTCGTACTTTTCTAAGGAGCATGCAAGGCTTTGTGGAAAAGCATGAGAACTCTTACGTGACACGACGTGGTCCATATACTGAGGTAAATAAGGCGCCCAGGCATCGATGGCTTCCTTCCGGCCCGCCTGCTCAATTCTCCTCAGCTCTGCCAGAAGCAGGGCCTGCGCAGCTTCTCTGACCTACGAAGACCACAGAGCCCAGAGTGAGAAGAGCAGATCAGCCGGCGAGCTGTTCAATAGCTAGAAGTTCAGAATGAGAACATATACTCCACATGTGTGTACCACTAACCAGTGAACGAAGGACGTAAAGTGGAATAAATGGGATGCCTCCAAATCAAAGAGGTTTTAATTACTTCCCTCACTGAAAAATATTTTATCACTAATAGACTGAATTATGTTTGAACATTTCATCAGTTTTGGGTTTCAACTTTCATTTTCCAAAAGCTTTTAAAACATTCTTGCATGTTAATTTTGCACTTTCAATTTTAAAATTTCTATATAAATATTGTTAAAAGTCACTGTTAGAACTATTAAATTTGTTTTCTCTTTTAGCATGAAGAAATTTAACCTTATCTAGTGAATTTTTATAATATATCCCAAATAGGTATTGCTTACACAAACATACATATATAAATCCACACATTCATATATACCTAAGACACGCTTAAACAATTTGTTTTCAACAAATAAGCAAATATATTCCCATGTAATGGCTTGAGTTCCATAAAAGAACACTAGTTTTCAAAATTTTATTATCTGAATTTTTCTTCCCTTTCTTTTATAACAACTTTTATTTTTCAATTTTAGTTTAGTTTTGTTTTATTTTGGCAAAAAAGCCACAGGCTTGGGGTTAAAGAAGCTAGTCAATTGTCAAGTGACGTACCAACCAATTAACTATTTATAATTGAAAAGATAACAGTAGCATCTGGAAAAACTTTGACTAAAAATTATTTTTAATTTTATTGACTTTTGAAGTGAATTCAAATATTGTTCAATGCAAAACCACGAAAATTCCAGGATGCTGCAATTCCACTTGGAATTGAGGGAAGGAAGACAGGGAAAGGAGCAACTACATTCATTATATTTGGTAAGCTAAAAATCCTGAATGATACAAACTGCTACAGCTATATAGGGCCAATGCTATAATACGGAAAATCTCTATAAAACTGTCCAAGTCCCTGGTGATATTTTATGCCAAGCAATATCTAGTACAGTGTAGTCCATTCACACAAAATAATAGTTTCATTTATTGAGCTCCTACAACGTGTGAGACTCTGCATTGTTTTACTTGCATTACCACATTTGACCCTGACACCAATCCCATGAGGAATATATTATTATCCCTACTTTACAAATGAGGTTCAGATAGGTTAAGTAAATTGCCCAGGGTCACAAAGTTAATAATTGGCAGAACTGATATTTAAATCAAGGTCTCTTTTATTCTAGACATTCTTTTATTGTAATACAGTACCTTTCATTTGGACTATGGCTATCCTCTTAGAATTTGAGTGGTGATACTGTACCTGAGCATGTGATTTGCGGGGAGGTAGGTATATGCATGTGTGTGTGAATGGGTGTGTACAACCTGTATAGAAACCAATACTTAAGAAACAGTTCCATACAGTATATGAAACTTTTTACCAAATACTCACTGGCTAAAAATAAGTAAACAAATATATAAGCAGAAACATTACTATTTAGTTCATAAACTGAAAAAAAAAGTCATGAATCCATATTTTCTATCACATAATAAAAGATAAGAAATTAGACAAACATTAACCATTTTTGTTTCAAACGTACACTTGCCCATCGCCTGTTTATGTCTTTGTTTCCTGTCCACATCACCCAGACCTCACCTCCAAGCACCGATCTTGCCACCTCCGAGCGAGCATCTCCAGAAGTGGAGGCCTGAATTTGTCCAATCCCAGCAGGTCTGGGAGCATAACGCAATGCATAGCAGCCAGCTGACTCCATCCTATTAAAAGGTAATGCATTAAAAATACTTTAAATATTTTGGCATTCCCTAATTCAAAGATTTTTCTTTATGTAAGTATTCCAGAAACATAAAATAGGCAGATCTGCTAAATTGCTATAAATTGTTTCAATTTATTACTAGATTTTTTTTTTTGTACAGAATTTTCTTATTAAATGAAGTTCATCTCTTAATCGTGTACCTGGTACTTATAAGAACTCTCAAAGTCTTAAAACAAATAAAAATAAATTTCTGTATGAAGTATATAAGTTCTACACGGAAAACAGATTTCTACACAGTCCCTCTAAAATAGAACATACATGCAGGGATGGAAAAGCACAGAAGGAAACAGCTACCACTGCCACAGACATGAAACCACTTTCCGTTAAAAGGACACTCACACAGGTACCCAAAGACCTGTTCATATCCATCCCAAGGCCTGGCCATCTCTCTATTACCATCATGTCAGTCAACAGAGATGTCCCCTTCTCTTTCCTAGGGTCTTTAATTAAGGGACTTATTGATCCCTTTTCTTAGAAAGTGAATCAGATATTTAATCACAGAGATGAAGTAAGTAACGTATGCTAATTTTTAGAGAAAAATGAATTCAGACTTTCCACAAAATACTAAGTTTGCCATCCAAAATTTACAAAGTCTTAAGCATCATTAACTCTATGGAATAAAAGTGATTTTTTTCCAAAATTCTAACCTACAATATAGAACCTGATTACATGAAGAAGATAAATACTATAAACTATCACAATATAAAAAAGTACTAGTATCTAGACATTCTCAAATCATGAAAAAGCCTATTTTAATGATGTGTGAAAAATATATACACAATAAATGCCTCATTCTTGCCAAATGATATATAAAGCTACTATGAACCCATAATAACTACCATTACCTCCTGGGGTAACATTTAAAGACAAATAATCAAGAATAAATGCAAAAAAAACTTGTCTACTACCATATTAAAAGGTGAGGTATCTGTGATCATAGAATTTCAGCAAATCGATGTTTTAAAATAATCTAAACTGTAGTCTTCTGAAACAGTAACAAAAACCCTACCTCAAAATGATTACTGGGCTTGTTAAAAAAGAGAATGTGTCAGTGAGGACAAGCCACCCAGATAAAGATTCATCCTGTCAGTAAGAGATTCTCTTCAACTGAGAATATACAAGTACATAACTAAGAAGATGAGAATGCACTTTTTAGATTATAATTTACGTTCAACAGAGGGATATGTGTCTATATATAAATATATATAAGTATAAATTACTACCTAGTAATTTCTTAAAGTGTTTTAATGTCTCATAAAAGTATGAAGTATATATATATGAGCTAAATTTTAATATGATGATTCTCACCATTCTCTAAAGTCAATAGCTTATTTTTTAATTAAAATATTACTATCTTTCACAATAGCCGAACAAAGATGACCCAAAGTATTTTTGCTGAAATCCACCCTTACAGACTAACCTCAGCACAGGTCTAGGGCAGGGGAACTGAAGGAAAAGTGCGTGCTGTCTGCCAGCGGCCATGTTTCTGTTTTTCAGAGGAGTGGTACTTAGGACATAGGCTCTGCACTTTATGTACCTTTCTTTCTATTTGAATGGACTGGAAATATTGCTTTGTAGTGAAGTCAGAATCAATCTGGGTTAGATTTGAGACTTTATAAATTTCCTCCTTTTTATATTATACAAACTGGTGAAGATTGAGCCCACATTGAAGAGAGTAGGTATAACCCACCAGAGCCCACAAGTTCCCTTAAGCTTCTGGGCAGTATAAATAATCCTGGTGGGGTGTAAAGGTTTGTGGATTCCACTCACATTTTCAGAAGTCCTAAAAGACTTCCCACTACTGTAACTCCACAGGGATAATATGGTAGCCTAATTACATCTTAAAAATGAAAATGACCGATTTTTGTCTGGGCCAGAAAGAGAAAAAGTAGGACAAAATAGGTGTCTTCCTATCAGTCTAGAATCACTGGTGCCGATCATCATTTTGAAGACTTTTCATATGGTGTATAAAGAGAGCCCCTTGAGTCTCTCACAGGGGAATGATACCCCTAAATTAAATCGATAACTCTAACACCAGGAATCACAAGGCAAACGTCACCATGAAAACCAGCACACCTTTCACACCTACTCACATCAAAGATGAGCATCTGTGCACTTCTTTAACAGTGTTCCAGATTACGGAAACACGGTTTACTCCAGCCAGGAGCAACATCACATTTTTATAACTGGCCCTTATCATTGACAGTAGCAAATAAAGTTAGAAAATAGAAACTTTACCATCTTATACATAACAAAGTAGATTAATGTATAAATTATATTAAAAAAGAACATGTCAATTAGAATAAAGCACAGACTGAAGGCAGTTGTTAGAAAGTTGAGGGAGAATACCTTCATTTACTAAGAAACAGGGATGTAAAGCAGGAGTAGAAGTGGGGTCAGAGCCAGAGTGATCAGCATCAGACCGAGCGGAAATGACAGGTGCAGGAACTTGCAGAGGAAAATAGAAATAAAACAGAAAGAATTGAGGTACAGCAGTTTCTGGAAAAAAGCTCAGTATTAGTGAAGAATGAAAAACAAAGCTGGAAAAATATAGTAAATATAGAACTGAAAAATGATGTTTTACTCAGACAGGCATGGTCACTACGGATTACAGAAGAAATATTTTATGAACAGCAATCACAGTGTAATTCAAATTCCTCTTAAAACCAAAATTTATTTAATATTCATTGAATGATGTACCAACTAATACAAAGAGTTCTAAAACAACTAAGGCTACAATGAAGAAAATGTCAATACATTAAAAATCATCAATAGTATAACTCATAAAAAAAAGTATAACTCTATTTTTAAAATGTATCACATAATGAAGACTTTGTGTGGGTCTTCATGACAATTACTTTTTCTAATAATTTTCTAACATTATATATACATTATTTTTAATCTCTCAAACCAGTATCCACTGAGATCATTTCAATTTTCCACACTCATTTGATATATACCACACTTAACTCTTGTTAGAAGAATCCTAACATAACTTCATACTTTGAAATTCAAAAAATATTTTTATGATACAAACGCTTTCTACCCTAAGAGTAATTATTATGAATGTTATAATCTTTATAAAATAGATGCCCCTCCCCCCACCCTGTCAAGCTGAACCCCCACTCCACGGTTCAGCTTAAATTATCATATGAAAAGGCAAAAGGACCGTATGGCACACACATTCTACAACTGGAGGTCAATGTTAAGATTTAGAGGTCACCATTTGACACTTCCTTCCTATGGAGAAATTACCATATGTCATGCACAAGCATCTTCAAATTAATCCCTCTCCTTTCTTCTGTCATTGACCAGCAATAGGTCTGGGCTCCTGCACAGATTAAGCATTGTCTGCTGAGTGATATGTTTGCTTTTCATGCAGTGAAGTTCTTTTGTAACCACAGGCCAGCTGCAGGAAAACAACTTTTCATAATTCCCACACAAATGCATCATAATGTCAACCAGGCACGTGTTCGGGAAACAGCAGAACTAAGCGAAGTACATGAACAGTAACAGAAAAACGAAAATCCAACTCTGTGAAGCCTAAGAAGTCTCTCTTGCATGCAAAGAAGTTTTATCTGGGAAGCGATTTTTTTAGTACAACAGACTTGTTTTGGGTTCTTATGAAATTATAATTATTTTATAATGCTCTGCTTATAAAAGGAATAGAGCTATTCCTAATTGTATATTTTATAACACTGCAAAGAAATCTCCAAAATTTCTATAACTTTTATTTTACACTTTTTAAATCATTTTAAATTATAAATTCAGTTGTTAAAGCCTATAAGTATTCACTTCATTATGCAAAGAGTTGGTAAGCCTTGGTGGCAAGGAGTAAACTGTCAGGTTTTAGCTTTCATGGTACCAAAGTTGTTTAAAAAGTTCCTCTGGTGGTTTTCAACAGTTGGAACATTTCTGTAATTTTACTTTCTTAAAAATGGAGACATTATTATTATCCCAGAAGAAATTACTAACTCTATCTAATCTTACCCTTAATTCTAAAAGGACAATAGAATGAGAGGGTGAGAAAATTCATTGTAAGCAAATAAAAGTTTAGGGCTAAAGGATCATTACCTTACCTAGGTCAAATTAAGTAGTGGGATCAAACTAGAATGTTTTCTCTAAATCTCAAGTCTAACGGAAACTAGCAATATTACTGACAAAGTTGCTAGAATAATATGCTTTAATGAAACAATGTTCAACATAAGTAACTCTATTTTTAATGAGAGACATAAACAGATTCTGATTCTGGGTATTATATTTTTGAAGTCCTGTTTAAATGATATCACATAGAGAAAAAGCTATTTACGCTTTAATCAATTCCATGGGCACTAAAAATCAAGAAAAAAACTATAACAGAAATCAAGGAGTCAGATTTATTGTGCTTGAAAAATCTCTACATCACCACCAAAACATATTCAGTCTATGCCACAACTGAAACTACAGAATCTAGAACTACTTTCATAATTGGAGAATATTAAAAAGCTGCTAAAGCTTTTATTTTTCTTTTTAATTTTTTTCTTTATTTATTTTTAGAAAGAGAGGAAGGGAGAGGGAGAAAGAGAGAGAGAAACATCAATGAGAGAGAACATCGATCAGCCACCTCCTGCATGCCCCGACTGGGGATCAGGCCCACAACCAAGGCATGTGCCCTGACCAGAAATCAAACTGGCGACCTCTTGGTGTATGGGAAAATGCTCAACCACTGAGCCACACTGGCTGGGCAAAAGCTGCTAAAACTTTTAAAACCACAGCTTTTAAAATACTTTCCACATACAGAAAAATCAGCAAAAAAATAAGGGAAAAGTACCACTTCTAAAGTAAAAAGCTCGAGAGTCATTTGGCCGGTGTGGCTCAGTGGTTGAGGGTCAACCCATGCACCAAGAGGTCACCAGTTCGACTCCCAGTCAGGGCACATGCCCAGGCTGTGGGCCTGATCCC